TAATTACAGGAATTGTAAAAAAAAATGTTTTAAAACAGAGAAAAACAGCATCTTAGTATCCAAACATGCTTTATTAATATATTAATAATAATGAAAAGTGAACTTAATATGTTTTCACACTATATATTTTAGGAAAATTATTGAAATTCATTGAAAATCATAGTAAAAATTATGTGTGAAAATATCATGATAGTATCGTAATATTTTTGGAAAAAATCGTGATATATCGTGATACTAAATTTTTGGTGATACCCATTCCTATTCATGATATAATTAACTTTCTCCATTTACTTGAAGTTTAATGAAAGACATAAATTTCAGAAATGAAGCTCTGCAATAGAATTCTTTGTTTAATTTTGGTATATACTATCAAAGAAAGATTAATTTCTTAATTTTTGTTGGCTGAAAGGAGGTCACATATTTGTCCATTCCGGACATGGATGAAAAAGTGTGTCCTCCAAATATATATGTGGAAATGCCTCTCGGGGCCCTTGATTGGTAAATAAAATATCTTGTATCTTGTATATCACATGACTCACTGTTTCTATACTGTAATAAGCAAAACTGGCTGCACCAAGGCCACCTATAGTTAAAGTGATTTCTTTAGAGAAGAAGCATGTTGTAATATGGTACCATTGTGAGAAGTCTGTTCAGTTAATTAAACTGTGTCAGATAATTCATTTTGAGTGATTATTTAATATACCTGTACGAAATGTTCCGCCCAGAATATAGGGGGAATAGAGGCATACTTGGAGAAGGGATTCCGGGCGTCAGTTTATCTCAATACATATATGGTGATATACAGGTTCCGGGCGTAACCCAAGAGGAAACTAAGAGGAATTGAGCAGGAATTTGAGGCGAAAAATGCAAATGAGCTACGCCCGGAAAAATAAATGACGCCCGGAAAAAATTTACGCCTGGAAACTGAAATGACGCCTGAAGCAGAATTACGCCTGGAAAGTCCTTATTATTATATAATACTATGTGACCTAAAAACCTATAAACCAAGAAAAAACATTTAGGTTATGATTTACAATGTTAAAGTTAAATATTTAGCCTTTTGAACTGGAAGAAAACATAATGACAGGTCATTAACGTAGTATAGAAATATAATTTATAAAAGCCGTTTCAATTTTTTTGTATAAAGGACACTGTCAAACACCACCATGAGTGTAAAATAATGTTTAAGAATTAATTCAATAAACTTTTTAAAATACATTTATCACTTCAATAATCATGACACTGAAACAAATTACTTAATACAGTTCTTCATTTATTCAGTACTTTACAGTTCAAATGCCTTTATCAGACTAACTCAAAATATCTAAAGTAAAGAGTCAATAAGTTATAACTTATGATCATTGTACATATTAATCATAATCAAAGGATCTACTCAAGTTGATACCAGATATTAATTATCACACCTACCAGCAGATACTGTACGTGTCATCCAGAACAAGTAAAAGCCTTTAACATTGATATATCTGTATTCCGTATTTCACTCACACTAAACTCCCTCCTTCCTGATCAAATTCAAACTTAACCTCCTATCTCAAATGACCCTTAATTGATAATTAAATTGACCAATCAGACGCTTTTACTCCTCCTGAAAGTTCCAGGCATAATTTTTGTTTCCATTTTCCTGCCATTTTACGCCAGGAAAATCTTAACTTGCCAATTGACGCCCGGAAAGTAGAAATGACGCCTGGAAGACGCCTCTTATATTCAGGTGTAACTTTTCAAAAACTCCGTCTCCGCCTCAAGTACGCCCGGAATTTGCCAATTCCTGCTAGATTCCACCCATATTCCCGGCGGAATCCGCCTTTAAGGACATACGCAACGTACCTTACCTACTGATAATTTTTCAAGATATTCTTAATTTAAGATTATAGTGCCATCAGATGTTCATGGACAAAAAATCAGCATGCATTACCAGGGGTTTTGAAAAAATATCAGTTGATGAAAAATCTTGTATACTTCAAAGAAAAATATTCAAAAATTACTAAACATATATTCTAGATATTTTGTTTATCTAAACTTGTTTTAGAAGAAGTGTACAACAGCATATTTAGGCATTAAAATGTAGCACACAGTTCCTTTAAGTATTGGAACTCTTCAACTCCAGTGAAAAAGACAATAAAGTTCAAACTACGTTGCGTATGTCCTTAAAATTCATACAGGTAACTATTATGGACTTCAGTGAATGGTCAATAAACTTGTAGTTACAAAACAAGCTTGAAGAATTTACCACTTTGTAACCACTGTAACTAGCAGTAAGCAATAGCAATTGGCTGTTGCAAAATAGAATTCATAGAGAAGGCTTATTCCTGCTATACTTCCCTATCATCTTTATGATCAAACATTTTCCCCCAAATTGGGGGGGGGGGGTTAAGTATAGAAAAAGAGAAAGGTATAGTATTATTTTATGTGAAATGTGAATTAACAATTTGTTTATTATGCTTTTTTGGGACTGTCTTTAGATTGTTACAATATTTTTAAAAAGTATGTCTTCGTTCAGTGACGTTCAGAATCAACGAACGAGTTGTCTAAAACCTATTCCACCATTTTCTGAAACGCGGTAGAAATGAAAGATGAAACATGATACCCACGATATCTCAAGAATTATTCACACTGAACTACAGCAAATAGGTAAATTTTTTTTTACAATATTTTGTATGTACCAGATGTGACGAATAACGGAAAACACATGCACCGGTTTATGGGACTATCCCATGAGAAATGTCACTTGGCTTGCTTGGCGGGTTTTTGTCACTTTTACCGATTGATATCGGGCGTGTGAACGGAGACCGAGGAGGCATTTTCGATTCTCAGACTGACAGAAAGAAAAGGATGATGCAAAGTAATTTGCTTCTGATAATGCCAAAATAAACTTGCCACATCGTGGAGATATGTAGATGTTCACAAATGCACTTTAAATGTAAAACGAAACTTGATTCATATTTTGGTATTGAAGCATAAAACATGTACAATATAAACATGTCTTACTCTATGTGAAACAAAAAGATATACATGTATACATGTACGTCTACTTGTAACAATGTATTCATGGAATAAAAATGTGTTTTTCAGTGTCTACAAACAATAGTGGAAAAAGAGGGATCGAATTGAAAGAAATTCCCATTGTCACTAACAGGGATTTATATGTAACTGAGTTCAGTTATTCTTACTCCTAGAGGAACTTGAGTTATCTGAACCTATGCTACGTTACCAATTTACTTGGTGAATAAACTCAACTCTATAAATATGGCAGGTACTAATTGGCTTAGAATCATCAAACTTAGTCAGTTGATGTATCTTTGGTCCTTGGAGTATGTCAACTGAAAAGTAGGTTACTTTGACCTACATTTGAAATTTATGGCTATATTTAAATATTCTATTATTAATTGCCTTAAATTCATCAAACTTTGTCAGTTGATGCATCTTGAGTCCTCGGAGTACTTCAACTGAAAAGTAGGTAACTGTGACCTACTTCTGAAATTTTATAGCTGTATTTAAAAATTCAGGTACTAATTGGCTTAGAATCGTCAAACTTTGTCAGTTGATGTATTTTGAGTCCTCAGAATGTGTCAACTTAAAAGTAGGTCACTGTGACCTACTTACAGAATTTCAAGGCATTATTTAAATATTTCAAAATAATAAGAGATTAAAATCATCAAACTTTGTCAGTTGAGGCATTTTGGGGTCCTGGAGTATGTTTACCAAAAAGTATGTTACCATGACCTACATTTGGAATTGTCTTAATAAACAGGATACTTAGAGGCTTCAGATAGAAGTGACAGGTATAAATATACAATTTATCAGAAGAGCGTTTCAAGGCCCTTGGGCCTCTTGTTTTATTTGCCAATAAAATGTCAAGACTGAGGGGTATATTCTCCAACAATTACAATGACAAGGGGAGTATTTCTATTCTGCTATGGCGAATCTTTAAATCCCTATATAAAGAAATGGAGAAGTAGATGTCGACATCAACATAAGTGCCTTATTACGCCACAATTGAATGCTACTTGTAGTTTATTTCCACTCCAAGCATTAGAAAAAGTATGAGGTAATCCAAATCCCAAGTAAACTTTTTTCACACTAATTTGCGTCACAATAAAAGAGGTCTTAGTCCTTTTTCTAGTAAGAGCACTCAAAATTAAAGAAAACTGATATAAAGTTATTGATAATTTGTTGATGACGTTTGTAATTTATTGGAGAATAATGGCTGCAGCATTTCTTTGATCTTTGCAATAACTGTAGTACAATGGACTATAATGTTCTCATGAGGCCTTTTGCTTCTTTGCCTTCAGGGTGAGGAAGCAGAATGTGTTGGGGACAGGGTGAGGGAGACAACATGAAGTAGTGGTCACTAAAGTAGTTGCCCCCTTGCCTTGTTAACCCTTCAGCTTTCTCTGTTTGATCAAGTTAAAAAGCCTGAAAGAACCTTTGGGAAGCTTATTTGTTGTTTAGGAAGTCATGTCTCTGTCTACTTAAATGTTAAGTTAAAATGTCTTTCATTAAAATATTGAAAATTCTGGACCATATCTTTAATTACATGTATGTCAGCTTATTATTTACATTTTTCTATTTTTTTTAAGGGATCTGTAGAATTTATTTAATGGAAGGGGCATTGGCTGGTTCTTCCCAGCAAGACAAAACATTGTATCTTTACTTAAATATTTCAGAAAACTACTTCAAGAATTGATAATGGAGGAGACATTACTAGAGCAGTTGCGACCGATATTCCCTAATTTGACAGATGAGGTGATTTTGATTAGCGTCAGACATCCCAGTAACAACACGATAGCTGGATCTGTGCAGTCTGTGTTCCTCAGCTGTATTGATGATCTCCTAATGCTCCGTACATTTTCTCTGGCCTCCGCAACACCCAAGAACACACAAAACCCATCTTTTGAAGGCAAGCATTTTGAATTAACTGTGTCAACAAAGAATAAATAGTTAAACTTAATTTGAGGTAAAGGTGAAAGAACACATATTAAATGCTAAGTAATTGTTACATCAATATGTATAAAGAGGAAGTTATAAGTTCAGTGAAATGTCTTTTGTTGTATAAACAGTTATTAAGATTTCATTGATAAATTTCAGAAGATGATACACTTGTTAAAGCTGCAGAAAAGGTAGAAAAAGAAGAAATTATTTCCTTAAATAATTTATCTGATGCAACAAAGAAACCATATAAAGCTAGTAATTGGTCTGAACTGGATACAAAAGAACTTGATAGAAATCTAAAAGGATCAGTACCATCATCCAGTGGTTCTTGTACAAGTATTGACCAGAAAAAGCCATCATCTTATCAGACATTCAGAAAAGAGGTGGTAGATTCTGAGGAGAGTTCTAACGACTCTCTACCAGACCCCGGTCTTGATGTAAAGAACTCTTCAACAGCTGGAGGTCAGTATAGCCACAGCTCCTCATCACAAACTCAGAAAACTCCATCACTGCCTTCTCCACTGAAACTGTACAAAAGAAAGTTTACCAGATCTCCCGGTCTTGTAAATAAACCGTATTCTCACTCTGCAGAGAGACTTAAATCTGGTGTTGAAAGTCAGAGAACCAGATTTAATTCAGAACCCTCCCAACCAGTATTTTCCTTGAATAAAATTGTGAGCACAGCAGGAACTTTGATAAAACCAGCTACGTTCTCCCCAACCAAATCCACTGATGGCTCAGTGGCCAGCGGACTTAAAAAAGGAACAGTCATCAAACCTGCTGTGTTTTCACCCAATAAGGCCAGCACTTTTTCATCTTTTGACATCAAAAAAGCCAACATCATCAAGCCAGCAACATTTTCTCCGAGTAAGAGTATTCTTCTTGGATCTGATGATGGTAAGTGCAAGGTGTTTGTGTAAACATAATTTAGTGGTAATCACATTTTAGTGCCTTTCGTTCTGTGTTCTGTCTGCTTATTCAATAGCATGCTAATATATGATTAAAACAAATACAAGTAGTAGCATTACAGTATTTGCTAACCTTTCTGAATGATGAAAATAAAAAAAAATTAAAAATTAAATTTTTAATTGTTAAATATAGTGAAAAAAAAAAGTTAAATATGTCAAATGATGACTAGGTAAGCGTGATGTTTTAAAATTCAGACCATCATAAGAGTCAAAACATTTCTGAATGATAAGAAATATTAACATAGTACAAAAAGTGTTTCAAATGAAATTTTTTTTTTCAACAGGCATGGGCAGTAAAGTTGCTACTAACAACAAAATAACAGTTTCTATAAACAGTAACATATTAAAACCTGCACATTTTTCGCCAAAAAATGCATTGAATTTGTCATCAAATAATCCAAAAAGTGCAAAGGATAAGGTGTCTGAAAATTCAAGATCTGAACTTGCCACTAATGCTTTGAAAATTCTCTCTCCAGTGGGAGGAGTTGCTATTGCTAATTATAAAGTGTCATCAGTGGCCCCCACCAAGATAATAATAAGTAAAGAGGATGTTCAGAAATCCCCAGCCACAAGTTTGACCAAACCACACCCACCAGCTGGTCTAGACAACTGGAAATATGTCGATGTCCAAACCGATGCTGGATCATTGGAAGATGAACAAACATATAGACGCGAGATTTTAATCAAGTCTGGAGAGGTCATGGGAAAGATTGAAAACGAGAGGAGGAAGTCACTCGGAGGAATTCATACACAAAACACAGTGCCTGGAGAACTAAAGAATAAAAGACGGAGTGCTGTAAAAGAAACAAAATTGTCCACTGAAGGAACTAGCTCAAAAACTCCAAAGCAAAATAGCAGGTAAGAGACATTATCTTGGGATAAAGATTTGTTTACTTTAAGCTCAACTGAGTTTGAAAGCTCTGTGAGCTGCTTTGCTTCTTTGACAAGTGATGTCCTTAGATTAGATAAGTAAAAATTTCTCACCAAAAAAGTAGATTTAGGCCAAAAAAATATAGTCTTGTTTCCTGCTACCCGACCGACCCTATTTTTTTGCACCCAACCCTGGAATCATTTAAAAATCTCCAGAACAACAAGGCCACATTAGTCGGAATTCCCTTATAATGGAGATTCAAGTTTTGTTAAGTTGTAACCCATTAGTGCTGGGCAGGGGCTACAATAAGGCCATAATGGGCTCAACATTTTTCATGGAAAGATAATACAGCAGAGAAATCCTTTGAAAAACAGTCTTCTAAAGAACAGCAGGGCCAAGATGACTAGGGTGAGTGTTGTGACCCTTGGGCCTCTTGTCTGGATGAGTGACCAGGTCAAAGCTTTAAAAACAGGCCCTAACTGTAAGCCCTATGCCCATAGCCTGACCAAACTAGCAAGCTTAGTGATGATCCATTTAGGGATGCACCCAACCAAACCTGCTTCGGATGCTGCATCTGCTGCACATTTTCCAGATTAGTGAACTGTGCAAGTTTATAGCAGTAGGGATGCAAACTACCAGATCATTTACCTTATAAGTTCATTTTTTAGCAAGACGCAAATTTAGCGATTTGTCCTTAAAAATCAGTATTTAATTTTAGGGAGAAGTAATTTGAGTGATTTTGTGATGCATAGAAAGATAACAGTAACCTCTAATGTGGAATAAATTGTTAGTTATTTTGATTTGAGCGATCTCAACACCCTCACTAAAAAATGCCTAAATTGAATCCTCACTAAAATTTCTGCTTATACGTTATAAGATGTGAGATTTACCAAAGTAATAAATAAAATTTGTCATTTAGAGCTTTGTAATCTTTGATAGCCAGTATTTAAATGTATGAATTTTATCTAAGGATGATACTGTTTACTGGGAAACTTCTCACTTCTTGTTTTGTTCACAGTAATTTTAAAGATTTCATAAATTCATTCTTTTAAGGAAAAAATTCATTCTTTTAGGATAAAAAAAAATAATGATAAACAAAAAAAAAATCTGTTTGGTAAACACTAAAAAAAATACATACAGAATTCTCAAGTTACAGCACCACTGGGCACAAAACTACTGAACACTTTCAGGCAAAATAAGACCAAAAGATTGGGTTGAACTTGCTATCATCTTTTTTTTTTATAAAATTAAAAGTTTGATTGATCACCTATTTACTGATAGATGAATTTTCCATATCAGAGGATACAAAGCTGATAAAATCTGTTTATTTAAACATTTATAAATCATAGCATTATATATATAGAGAACATATAATTGACAGACTCACCAGTTGTACAGCAGATAAAAAGGATGATGAAGATCTACCCAGGATGAACTTCCTTGTAACGTACAGGAGGCTTAAAGATGATAAAGAAACACAGAATGGTACAGCAGTTACTGACAGTAGAGCAGGCTTACCAGGGGACAAGTCAAAGGTCAAATCAGTTGAAAGGTCAGAGGGGAAATCAAAAATAGCTGATAGGTCGAAGAAAAAGTCAAGAGAAGGGTCAGAGGGTAATGACATCATCATTATGGGAGCACAGAGTGGTAGAGCCACAGAGGTAGACGTAGTAGATATCACAAATAGCTCTCAGTCCTCCGAGGGGTCTCAGACAGGTGTGCCTGTAATCAATGTGGAGACCTATGCTGAAGTTGTGGACATTACCACTGAACAAAGTACTCCCGAGGTATTTGAAGTGAAAATTAATAAAAACAAACCTATTTTTGTACCTGATTCACCACCAGGACTTGTTGCACCTGCTAAAGCAGTAACCCAGGACAGGATTAATACCCATCCTATGCCAAAAAATCAGCAACAAGTGACTGTGCGAACACCCACGCATATGGAGGCCAGGCGTCACCTGCCAGCAACTGTTCTAAAGACCAGATTACCAACCGTTTCGATGGTAACCAGACCAACACCGATTCCATTGGTAACTAGACAACCATCTGTTCCCGTGGCTACCCAAAGAACACCTGTTCCAGTGGTAACTGGACAGCAGCCTGCTACTGTGGTTACCCTACCAGCACCTGTTCCAGTGGTAACTGGAGAGAAACCTGTTCCTGTGGCTACCCTACCAACACCTGTTCCAGTGGTAACTGAACGACCAACTGTTCCTAAAGTAACCATACAGGCACCAGTTCCAGTGATTACCAGACCACCACAACCAAACAATTTACCATCCCTTCCCACCATGGATATAACTCCTGAAGAAAAGCTGAATGACAAGGTCAATGAAGTGGTAAGTGGAAAAATGTAAGGAAGAAGTTTGGTTTAGTTAGATGTAATACACTGTACTGTTATTTTGTGAGAGCAGTTTTACAAGTTGTTTTCATTTGATCATGTTAATTTTAAGTATTTAAAGAAAACAACAACAAAAGAAAGAAAAAAAAAAGAGTGTGATTGTATGTACAGTATTATTGAATATATTTATGGCTGGTTGATTTTCTTGAAGTGCTATTTAGACATTGTTATATGTTTTGAATCTTTCAAGCGTGTGTTAGTTTAAAGCATCAAATACTATCTCAATAAGACCTCAGGATGTTGAATATTGCAGCTGCTTATGTTTCCTGATGTTGACCCTCAGTATGTGAAGAACTTGTTACTGGTGCATATAGGACCAGAGGCTCTGAACAATGTTTGTAACTTACTTCTGGAGAACTCCAACTACCCCCGAGTTCAGAAGCCCCCCTCCAGTACTGTGTCTACTGATCTCTCTCCACCAAAGGTAAGATATTAGTCTTAATGATAGCTGATGAGCTTGTGTGATCAGGTGTTATATGTCTTCTTTGAATGTAAATTTTTTTAAAACTATTTAATCAACATTAAAGGCATTGATAACAAAGTTGCAGGACTGCAGAAATCTTGTATTATCTCATGACTTGTGGAAATTACTGTAGATTCCTTATTTTACATGAATACTAAATATCGCAAAATGGCCCTTCGACAACAAAGTGCAAGAAGTATAATTCGCGAGTGACCGCTTAATCGAGAGTTTTTACATGGCTTTCAGCACCATAAAAATTAAAGCGAGTAATTTTATTTCGCGACTGGTTCTTCTTGCGTAATTACGCGATAATTAATTCGCTGCATATATTTAGGAATCTACAGTAGAGGAAAATGCAAACACCAATTTAAATTACTTGTATCTTTAAAATTATCGAAGAAAACAAAACTAACCCTTTTTAAACCAAACAAACAAATTATTCAAAATGTGTCTTGCTTTCAATTTAAAATTTTACTTTTGTTTTTTTTTTAGAGAGGCAGCAAGAATTTTTATGAAGAATTTTCAGAAGTGGTAAAATCGTTTGAATACAAAATTAACTGTGAGCTGCTGTTACAATCAGAATTTAAAATGGTATGTTGTCACGATGATCATAATAGTTTTATGCTCATTATTTAATAAACATCTTGTAGAATCCATCTCTTAGACCAGGTCTTCTGCACATCTGATAGGAGGGGTTTATTTTCTTGAACAAAATTACAACATTGTGAAGCAGGGTTGTCCATACAAATTGAAAAAGAAGGGGTCATTTCAAAAGTAGAATGTTGTCTTGGGTTCCACAAGCACCTGTGGCACAACCCTGTATTGTAAAGCTCTGATTGGAAACTGAACATTCCATTGATTCTGATATTAAAGTTGAGCTCCCTATCATGGTTGATTTTATATTACTGGTACTAGACTATTTTGTAAAACCATGTGTGATAAATGATTACTAAAAAAAACTAGTTAGGTAGGGAAGTATAGGTTAAGGTTGTATACCATTTGTTAAGAAAAAAATTCCTACAAGTCATTTATGTTTTAAAATCAAAGGGATAGAGGGAAAATTTCAAGATATCCAAGGATCTGAGATGTTAAGTTAAATACATAAAGTAAATGTAGTTTGGACTTGCTTCTGCATATCCATAGTATTCAAGATATCAATTGTTAGAGATATCTGAGTTCAAGTGTACATTATTACATTCATGAAAAAATGTTTAATCTCCATATTAAAAACAAGCTTTTTGTTGCATAAAGAATACTTCCCTTTTTGGTTCAGGTTTACAATTGTTAATATACAAAAGTACCTTTGTTTTAATATGGTTTGAAAGCACAGTTACACAAAGTAACATGGTATTTTGATATTGTAGATATCCGTCCGAGATATTCGAATTTTAGCCTCACATTATAATTGGCATTATGCTCCTATGCACAAGGCATTGTCTCTGATTGTCAAAAAAGGCTTTGAGGAAATGCAGAGTGAGTAATCTCTATAAATAGATGTAAAGATATGAAAGGGCTGGCTCATAAAATCAGTGAAATCAGTAGATTTATAGAAATCATAGGGCTGGCAATGTCCTTGTTATAAAAGATCAATTAATTACAAAGATATAGATATGGTATTATATAAATAGTGCATGTTTTTGAGGGAAACAGTTGAAATTGACACCCCAAGGAAAACCATTGTCAACTGACATGTCGGTATTTAACATGAAAGTATAATAAAAAGAAATAGTAAACTTGATGAGAAAAAAAACATCAGCATCTGAGTACCTGTATATTTACAGTTTTTCTTTTATAAGTATTTCTTTTTCACTGAATTTTAAAAATGTCCTAGGTGAGGGGAAGAAATCCTTGTCTCAGGCTGTGATTGTTGGCAATATTCCTGTTGGTAAGAAATGTTAGGTTACAAAACATTTATTTGTGATATTTGATTGATTGTAAAGAGGAAAGAGGTGCCAAGATTAATAGGCCAAGCTAGTGACAAACTTTCATTAGAGCTCAAACCTTTCTTTTCAAAATCCTGTGATTTGAATGACTTGAAAAACAGATCATTAACCTTTGACCCAATTTAGCAGGATCAATCAATCATTTAGTATGTATTTTAAGGTTCTGAGGAGAGAACGGTGAAGGTGACATGTCTTAAATGTCCCCGAGCTCTGAAGTGTTCCCTGAGCAGCCTGCCACCAGAGTTAACAGAGGAGTACGAGTTTGTCAAAGACAGGCTAAGGGAAGAAGCCAAGGTACGTGAGTTCATTGTCCAGAATTTAATGTGGAATCATCATTGTCTGTAGGGACCATTGTTTGTGGATTTCACTCAGGATTACCCTTACCCACAAATTAACGTCCTCACAATTTATAACTTTGTCAGTGTATTGATTCATTGTATCTTCTGTATATACAAGTTACCCTCAAAATTACGTCTGTTGAACCAGTAGAACTGTAGTTAAATAAATATAAATTAGTTAATGCAGAAACACCAGTAGATCACTGCATAAATCCATCTGATGATCAGAAGTTACTAGTATATCACCAAGAACATTAGAAGTTCATACTTAGCACAGAGGAAGCTTATGATGGTAAGTCATGACCTTGAACCAAGGTCATTTGGTCAAGTTCATAGGTTTCCAAGTTTGAAATTTCTGTCCAGGTGCAAGTTGTAAAGGAAGATAAAGGAAGATAAGCATTCATGTTTAGAACATTTAGGTGTTCTTAACCCAAAGGATATGTCATGATTTTGAGTAAATGACTTTTAGTTGAAGACACAGGAATTCAGAACATATGGACATATCAATGTAGTGCAGAGATTGCAAAGATTGCCTTTTATAGTTAGAATATGATGAAAGTATACTAAATACACTCAGAGAATTTCAAGGCTGCTTAATACAGTTCATGTATGCTTACTTTCATATGTGTGCATAGAGCATTCCCTGCAAGGGTATCAGTCCTGTTAAGAAATTTCCTGATTTCAACAGGATTTTAGATAATGGCTGTTTTCTCTGATCATTTAGGATGAAGACCTGAAGGTGGCTCAGCAGATGAACGAGTTTGAGTATGCTGAGACAGGACAGCTGATCGAGTGTGGTTGTTGTTATATGGAGGTGGCGTTTGACAATATGGTACAATGTTACGAGGGGCACCTGTTCTGTGAGGATTGTCTGAAGAATTATGCCAATGAATCAGTGTTTGGTCATGGAAAGGTAACCACTACTATCTGTGTATAATTTTGCATGTATCTGAATCAACAGAAGACATATGTGTACTCTTACAGTAATAATATTTATTAGGTTTGTCACTGACTGTTGACAAAAATATAAGGAGTTTATTAAGCCTATTGCAGAAACAATTTATGAAATGAATCAATTCAAATCAACTTTTGCTATGCTAAGCTGGGCAATTACACTAGTAAGTAGTCTTTTCTATTCTTCACAATTTGCCATTTTTTGCACAGTTTGGTAGTTTTTTCTGTTGACTTTTACTGTTATGGGGGCAGATATACACCATTACCTCAGTTTTAGTTTTAGAAATACATATACATGCTTATTTGTTTGTATTTTTCCTGTAGAATGCTACTTTGTACAGTTATGTGAAGGTGATGGATGTAGATATTTATTGAATGATATTAAGTGAAACATGCACACAGTTATATATTTACAAAACAAGGGAGAGGACTCTAAGGCATCTTCTTGCCCTAAATGAACCCACCATGATGCATAGGTTTAGTAATGAAAACAGTGTTCTCACTATATATGTTCTAACTGTCCAATCTTTGATTTCAGACATCATTACTCTGCATGTCTGATGGATGTGAAGCTTCATTTCCAAAGAGTAAGTTCTAAATGTGTGGTTTATTGCTTCTGAGAAAGTTATTCAAAATTTTGAAATATTTTGTTTTGAGATTAAAAATGGGGAATGTGTATGGTTTTTGGGCTGTCTGCCCTTTCATCTAGTTCATGTCTGAAACAAATCAATGAATTGAACACTGTTAAACTGTCACACACATCGTTGTACATGAGGAACTGTTTGGCTAATATGAAACAGCGGTACATGTTCTTTTTAAGATATAGAAATGATAAGGAACTCCAATTATAAGGAAATAATAGCACAGGCATCCAAAAGTGTTTCTTTTTAGTATGTTTAAATTTTGTATAGGTCAGCTAGACAAAGCCCTGCCAGCCAATATCCTGGATAAATACAATGATCGAGTTCAGGAGGAGAGCATAAACTTAGCTGCTCTGGACGATCTTGTGAGGTAAATATTTACTGTGTAATACATACAGAATTGTAAGATCTAAGTCATGAACTTAGCTGCTCTGGATGATCTTGTGAGGTAAAGATTTACTGTAATACATACAGAATTATAAGATCTAAGTCATAAACTTAGCTAGAAAATTATGTCATTTTCAATAGATAAGCCACCAAGAGCTCATTTGACATTAGATGCATTCTCAACTAAAATTGAGCAGTTTTGATTTTTCAGAAAGTCATAGGGCCAATAAAAGGCTCTAAATGAACTTAGGGCTATTCCAGGAAAAAATGTATGGGAGGGTTGGACGGCACTTCATATATTTTTGTATGGGTAGTGGGTCTGTAGCAATTAAATTTGAATGGGTGGTTGTCCTCACTCGATATAGTTTTAGATGGGTGGTTGTATTTACTCTCACAAATAATCAAGTGCAAAGTTCTTCTTTCCTCTCATTTTGTATAAATCAGTAAATACTGATATTTTCGTCCTAAACAGTTGTAAAGTGTGTTTACATTGAAAGTGAAAGTAGAATCGAACAAAACGGAAACAAGGGCAGATAACTATAAAAGCATGTGCAACTGAGACTGCAAGGACAATGGGGGATTGGAAAACGGATTCGTTGTGCTTTGGACTACCTGGTCCAGTTTCTTTTCTCCAGTTTAATCAAACTTGATTACATTAGTATATTAAATGATATTAGAAACAATCAAAAAGATCGTTTTATTTTAAACCGAAAGTAGAAAAAAAACTTATCTGATAATGAACGTTTTAGAGCATGACTATGGATTTTGCAAGTCAAATATTTTACTTTATACCACATACAGAGTAAAAGGAAGATGAGATATGAGTTTGAAAACAATATGAAATATATTACGTCAAAAACATACCAGTCCTTAACCTATTAAGTGTTAACTTGTCGAACTTGAATGCACCAATGGTCTAAGTTGTTAGATGGGATTTAGAATTCATTCAATATATTTTTTTTATTTTAAGTTGTTCATAAAATCTTACAAAACTTATGTTTCTGTTAAAATTGTTGGCATAAAACTATCTTATTTTTTTCAAAAAAGATTTAAAACATTTTTAAAGTAATGCAAAAAAGAAATTTATTTGCGTAATAAAAATTTTTTCTTAGTCATAAGTTCTTTTGTAAAGCGGGCCCTGGTTGGATAGATGTCAAAACCCAACACTCATTCGAAGTCAGATAAATTACAATACCTGAAAAAAGTACATAAAATTTTATTGTATATATATATATATATATATATATATATATATATACAGTCCCTGAAACGTTCTACTTTCCCATTTTTCCGTTCGCTCACCGTTCGTTCACCGTTCGTTCAGCGTGCGTTCACCGTTCGTTCACCGTGCGTTCACCGTTTGCTCTCCGTTCACAGTTTTGCGTTCAGCGTTCACCGTGCGCTCGCGTTCACCGTTCACAAAGCGTTCAGCGTTCGCTCTTCGTTCATTCACTTTGCGTTCACCCTGCGTTCAGCGTTCACTTATTGTTCAGTCTTTATTGTCATTCGGAACTCCGAAGTGAAAGGACTTATCTTTTTCTTAAGTAAGGATTTACAGGTTTTGAATTTAATAATTAACATATCGTGTTTATAGAATCATTATTTCATGGGAAAAAAATTATCTACAATATTTATTTTTATTATCTTAACTTAGCTGTTAGGTTATTTATTAAATTTATCTGGAAAATAAATGTTGTTATAAGTACATGTATGTACCTATGTAGAACAATACTGAAAAATTAATTTTAAATATGGGCAATAATCAGATGCTTCAAGTACTACAACATTTTGTTGTTATGTTAAAGACGACAAATCGTTAATGGATAGATAATAATCGAAGTCAATTAATCTACCAACTGCAGCAAAAATACGAAAATATTTATTTCTAACAATTTTTTTTCCGAATAATACAGAAATACATGTGAGAACTAGTTCTGAGAATTATAAACAGTACTGCAGATATCCAGTTAATTAAATATCTTTAGAGCGAATTAAATTGTTAGTGTGGTTTAAAAAAATATTTGTTTAAAATGTAATACATTAAAGATTGTTTTTTACTTTACATATATAAAGTCTTTAATTAAAGAAAGAGAAATGCCTTTATAACATGGTTACCATTAATATAACCAAGATGATTCTCCATTAATGATATTTTTCACCGTAACTTTTGTAACTTTTTATTGAATGTTTGCCATTCAATATGATTAAGAGCCCCCCCCCCCCCCCATCGGTTACTTAATTAGTGTATTTCCAGTATAATTTAATTGACATTTAAAAAGAAGTTAATGTGTTTTGTATCACAAAAATTTCAGTCTCAAAACAAACATGCATCTAAACAAAGTCATTAAACAATAGTAGTTCAAAATATACATGTGCCGGCGGTGATGGCAGGGAGCATGTTTCAAATTCAAGCGGCTTAGTCATTCCAAGTGTTTATTCCCAATGTAATTTATTTATTTATTTTTTTTTTAATAGAAATGTTGGAATCAGATCTAGAAATGATAAGAAAAAATGTTAAAGCTAACACTTCGGTGTGGCGAGACTTTCACACCTGCACAGTGTCGAATGATTTTGATTGACAGGTCAAGCACTTGGACTTCGTGTGAACTTGAAGCAGGAAAATAAAAACCGATTATGACTGTAAAACAAATGGATTTGTTGATTAAAAAAATGGTTACTTTCACTGCCTGATATATTTAGGAAAAAAATTAAAAGAATTTTTGTTTGATATAGGTACAAACATTTAAGGAAAGGGGGGCTAATCTCTCTCTCTCTCTCAGTTGTCTGTTTAATAAAAACTTTGACAGCATATTACTTAAATATAAAGTTGTGAAAATTTAATATTTAGCAAATAATATGAATGCCTTTTTGTATCATCTTGTCCTAGTATAATTACGGCCGGGAAATGTCTACAGATACATGTAGAAGTCTGCTCAATAAATCATCATAAAAAATAAAACATAAATATTATATTATTAAAATACGAGTGTATTTATGCAATATACCTTTGTAAAATATTTTATTTATTTCTCATTATTTTACACAGAATCGCCTTGGCACAGAAATACATGTATGGTTGTTACAACCGTTGTAATTCATTCGATCTATAAGTCCGTAGTTTTCTCTTCTAATATCCGCATTATTTGTAATGGTTTTATATATCAAATAAGAATAAACATATTTATTTTACAACTTGATTAATTTTATCTTTTATACTACAGCGTTCGGTAACAATTACATGTACAATGTTTTATAGCGAAAAAATCGTGTTATTAAAAAGTTGTATTTAAACATCGTACATATGTGCAGAAAATATTGTAAGAAACTTAAATTAATAATTTTACTTATGTGCATGTATCGTCTTTCTTAGGACAATTTTAATTGATTTGTTTATTTATTTAATTATTATTTATTCATTTTTAGCACCAGGCATTAGAATACAATAGAATAGTTTCAATGCAAGGAAAAGATCAGAGGCATTCCGAATAAATCGTTCATCTTGCGTTCACCATTCGTTCACCGTTCACTTTGCGCTCGCGTTTGTGCTCCGTTCGCGTTCTGCGTTCGCTCACCGTTCACCGTTCACACATCGTTCACCAAGTTGCGTTCAGCGTTCACACATCGTTCACTCACCGTTCGCTCTGCGTTCGTTCACCGTTCGTTCACCGTTCGCTCACCGTTCAAGTGGGAAAGTAGAACGTTTCAGGGACTGTATATATATATATATATATATATATATATATATATATATATATATATATATATATATATATATATATATATATATATATGTGATATAATTTTTTTTTTTTAATTTAGATGGGTGGTTGTATCAAAAGCATTTTTAAATTGATGGGGGGTGGGGTAGAAGGTAATTAAAAATGTATGGGTGGTGGGGTAAAAATAAAAGTGCCTTCCAACCCCCCCCCCCCCTACAATTTTTCCTGGAATAGCCCTTAGCTCTTTTAACCCTCGTTTTCCTTGAAATTAATTATGAAGATGTTTTTCTTTAAATTGCTTTATGAAAGTTTTCATTAAAGACTTCATTTAAGACTTTTGTTTTCATTTCATTGCAAACCATTATGATTTCTTTATGATTTGTCACCTTAAATTTGTGAAGCTTTCAGTACTCATATTACAACTCAAAAGATACTTAATCTTGACCCTGACCTTTCCTTTAACCTTGAATTCACTTTTCTTAATTTGTATTTAGCTTATGTTTAAAGAAATAAGATAATTTTATTGAACTTCATATGCCAATACATTTGGTGAGTGCTATTGAACTACTTCAAAAAATTTTTGACGTTGACCTTTCCCTTGACCTCACTTTTGAATTTGCATTTAGCTCAGTTTCAAAAAAAATATTCAAGGTATTTTTATGTAAGCTTATCTACTGATACATAATTTGATGAGAATTAATCAACTCTGTCAATTTTTTTAGCTCACCTGAGCTGAAGGCTCAAGTGAGCGACGTCCGTCTATCTGTCTAGCTGTCCGTCTGTTTGTAAACTTTTCACATTTTCGACTTCTTCTCAAGAACCACTGGGCCAATTTCAACCAAACTTGCCACAAAGTATCCTTGGGTGAAGGAGATTCAAATTTGTTCAAACGAAGGGCCACGTCCTCTTTCAAGGGGAGATAATTAGAAATTAGTGAAAAAATAATGGCATCATTTAAAAATCTTCTTCTCAAGAACCACTGGGCCAGGGAAGATGAAACTTATATGGAAACATCCTCAGGTAGTGTAGATTCAAGTTTCTTCAAATCATGACCCCCCCTCCCCCTGGGGTAGAGTGGGGCCACAATGGGGGATCAAAGTTTTACATGGAAGTACACAGGTAAATATCTTTAAAAATCTTCGTCTTAAGAACAGCAAAGCCATGATTGGTCATATTTATATGGAAACATCTTCAGATAGTGTAGATTCAAGTTTGCTCAAATAATGACCCCCAGGGGTAGGGTGGGGCCACAATGGGGGATCAA